ATCGGCTCATCACAAGCACTACAATACATAGAGTTCACACTCGACAGCGGGGCCACCCACACTGTGCTCAAGGAGACACTCTCCTTCAAACCCTACGCAACACCCATTCCTCTCTTGGGAGCTGACTCAAGCTTCACCATTCTTGCCAAGGGTACATCCACAGTCCCATGCCCTACCTTCCCATCCGGCACTGTCACTGGTATGTGCGTGCCTTCACTACGCCACAATCTAGTGGCTCAAACAGAAATTCAGGATGCAGGACTACGCACAGTCTTCTCGGAGAAGGACCATTGCGACATCATCGATCCTCTCACCAACAAAATCCTAGCCCGCTTCACCCTCAACAGCAGCGGCCTCTACACACTACGCGTACCTCTCCCACAGGTGTCAACCACCCAAGCACAGGCTCCTATCACACCATGCCCATGTCGCAGCCTCTCCAACCCGACCATTCTTTACCACCATCGGCTCGGGCACCCAAACTTCCGCACGCTTGCTGACATGGCCTCCAAGAAACTTCTTCTCGGCCTGCCAGCTGCACTTCCTCCACCACCTGACTCACCCGCTCCCACGTGCCTTGATTGCACCAAGAGCAAACTGCGCCAACAGCCCCATCCTGCCGCACCCACAGTCGCAGCAGCACCCATGGACCTCGTGCACATGGACGTCTGGGGCCCTGCCCCCGTTCCCGCACGAGGTGGCCATCGCTACTTCCTTGCTATAGTGGATGACCACTCCCGCTATGTCTCTGTTCACCCCCTCCACACCAAGGCTGAGGCCCCAGAGGTCATCATGGCGTGGGTCAAGCAGGCACAGACCACCTTTGATCGCAAGGTTAAGCGCCTTCACTCGGATGGGGGGGGTGAATTCTGCAACGACAAGCTCAAAGCCTTCTGCTCCTCAGAAGGCATCCAGCAAAACTTCACCCTTCCTGACAGCCCACAGCAGAACGGCATAGCAGAGAGCCGCAACCACACCCTGGTGCAGATCACTCAGTGCCTCCTCAGCCATTCCAACGCTCCACTCTCTCTCTAGGGGTATGCCCTCTACCATGCCGCCCTCCTCTATAATCTTTACCCCCACCCGCATCTTCCCGACACCACTCCAACCACACTAGAGTTGAGCATGTGGCCCGACCCAACCCGACCCGACCCGATTTGGCCGGGCCATTCGGGCCCTCGGGTCGGGTCGGGTCGGGCCGGGTTCGGGCCAGATTCCTGAAACAGCTGGCCCGACCCGGGCCTAAGAACTCGGGTCAGAGGTACCCGAGTTCGGGTCGGGCCGGGTCGGGTCGGGTCAGGAAACCCGATTTCGCCCGCGCTCTGTGCAGATCGGCGCTTTCGTCCGCCGATATGCGCAGATCGGCGATTTCTCCCGCCGATCTGCGCGGATCGGTGATTTCTCCCACCGATCTGCGCGGATCGGCGATTTCTCCCGCCGATCTACGCAGATCGGCGATTTCGCCCGCCGATCTGCGCAGATCGGAGCTTTCGTCCGCCGATCTGCGCAGATCGGTGAGTTCGTTGGCGTAACTCTGCAAATCGTCAATTTCGCTGGTCGATCTGGTGGAGATTGGGAGTTTCGCCGTGACACTCGTTTCCGACGAATGTGTTGGAACAAATATTTCCAACCAATTCGCCAAAGCTCACCACTCCTTACCGCATTAAATCTACCATTCCCAATCTTCCCCCTCCCACTCTTTACAGATCTCTCGACATTGAGCCTCTCCACAAAGTCGTCTTCTAACTTGTCGCATCATTCTTTGGCTGCAAACTAAGTAGTTATGGTTCCTAGGTGCCTTTGGTCGCTGGAGGAAGGATATTAGGTTTGTGGTAATGAATTGATGTCGAGGGGAAAAAAATACCGTTCACGTAGAATGTGTTAGGGTTTCGGGTCCCCCCTGTGTCGAAATCGGGTCGGGTCTGACCCTACCCGATTTCCCAAATCTTGACCCGATTTCAGGTCGGGTCAAAGCTGACCCGAAACCCGACCCGACTCGGCCCGAGTCCCATGCTCGGGTCGGGCTTTAGCCCGGGTCGGGTCGGGTCGGCCCGCACGGAGCAGGCAATTGAAACCGCTGACCCGACCCGGGCTAAACCACGGGTCGGGTCGGGCCGGCCCGACCCGAGCGGGGCAAACGCTCATCTCTAAACCACACTTTGGCTCGGGAAAACACCCACTGCTCGTTCTCTTCGCGTCTGGGGGTGCACCGCCTATGTCCTCCTCAACCCTCAGGCCAGGCGACAGCGCAGTGGCAAACTCGGTCCCAAGACTCAAACATGCATCTACCTTGGGCACAACGCCGACTCCCCTGACTATCTTTTCCTCAACCCCTCCACTCAACAGATAGTCCGGAGCCGCGACGTTGTCTTTGATGAACTCCGCCCATTCTACTCCACCTCGGGACCGGATCCTCCTTCCGATCCACCCTCTCTCGTGTGGGCGGACTTTGATGCGCACCCTGACCTCCCACCTGCGCCGCCCCCCTCACCTCCTCCCTCTCCTGCCATCGCACCTTCCCCCTCAGAGATCTCTGACCCGACCTCGCCGGTGTCTTCGGCAGCTGCTCCTCCATCCCCCTCACCTCCCACTCCGCCGACTGTGCTGCCACCTCCGAGCGCACCTATCACTTACCATCGGCGGTCACACCCTCCGGCCCCACATCCTCCCCCAGTTCCCCCTACCACAGAGGAACCCGCTCTCCCACAGTCGCCCGAGCTGATCACGTACCAGCGGCGGCCCATTCCACCACCCAAGCCTCCTAAATCAACCCCTCCGACACCGCCTGCCCCACCCTCTTCTCCGGTGGCTCATGGCACTCGCTCGCATGGCGCTGCTCTTCCACTGGCACTGATTCTTCAATGCACTGCGATCACTCCACCTCCTCCTGCTGCGGGGGATGTGCCCTCTACCCTTCTGGAAGACAGGCACGAGGAGCTGTGTGATCTTCACGCTGTCATTCCTTAGCTCTCGCACATCTTCCTCAACATCACTGAATCACCCTCACTCAACTTCACGGAGAGCCCGACCATCCCTATCCCTCTCACCGTCCAAGAGGCTCTCTCGGGTCCCCATGCAGCCGAATGGCGTGCTGCCATGGAAGCTGAGATTGAAGCATTCACCCGCAACCACTCCTTCGACGACGAGACTCCACCTCCAGGAGTCAATGTCGTCGGGGGCAAGTGGTTGTTTCCAGACGAGGCCCCGGTGTTCAAAGCGCATTACGTAGCCAAGGGTTTCACCCAGCAGCAGTACCACGACTTCTTCAAGACCTTCTCCCCCACATCCAAACCTCCCACTATTCGCACGCTCATGGATGTCGCAGCACGAGAAGACTTTGAGATCAAATCCATGGACGCCTCATCAGCTTTCCTACAAGGACGCCTCAAGGAGACAGTGTTCATGGACAGACTTGAAGGCTTCTCAGAAAAATTCCCTCCCAACACTGTCTGGAAGCTGAATCGCCCCGTCTACGGCCTTAAGCAAGCCCCTCGCGAATGGCACAACAAGGTTAAAAAAATTCTTCTCTCCCTGGACTTCCACCCATCATCTGCGGACCCGACTCTCTTCATTCGCCGTCATTCTGAGCCATTCTACATCCTTGTCTACGTCGATGACTTCATCCTCGTTGCCAAGGACTCGGCCCAGATGACCTCTGTCCAGGCGGCCCTGAGCAAGGCCCTCCTGATGAAAGACCTCGGTGACCTCAAGCACTACCTGGGGATGGAGATCACACGTGATCGCAAGGCTCGCACCATTTCACTCTCCCAAGAGTTCTACATCAACAATGTGCTCAAGCGGTTTGAGATGGAGCTGTGCACACCTGTTGCCACCCCGCTGCCGATGCAACACCTCCTCACAGCCCCAGCTGTACCCACACCAGAGGCCTGCTCTAAGCCATACCCGGAGCTTGTTGGGTCCCTCATGTACGCCATGATGTGCACCCGACCGGACCTGGCATATCCTCTCAGTGTCCTCTCTCGCTACGTGGCCCCTGGGCGCTTCACTGACCTTCACTGGAAGGCGGCGAAGCGGGTACTGCGTTATCTCAAGGGCACCAAGTCTCACGTTCTCACACTCGGTGTGCTCTCCCCTCCTCGACTGGAAGGTTACACTGACTCCTCTTGGGCCGATAACCAGACCGACCGACGCTCCTCTCAGGGGTACTGCTTCACCCTTGGGAGCGGAATTGTCAGTTGGCGCTCCACCAGGTCGTCAGCAGTCTCCCTCTCCTCCTGTGAGGCAGAGCTCTACGCTGGCACCATGGCTGCTCAAGAGGCCCGTTGGCTCACCTTCCTACTCCAAGAGCTTGGCTACCCTCAGTCCACCCCCACCCTCTGGTGTGACAACCAGAGTACTATCCACCTCTCCTAAGACCCTGTGTATCACACTCGCACCAAGCACATCGAACTTCGGCATTTCTTCATCCGTGACCTTGTCCAGCGGGAGCAGCTGAACGTGGAGTACGTTGCATCTGACTGCAACCTGGCTGATCTGTTCACCAAGCCCCTTGGGAAAGTTCCTCACCATCGTCTCCTTGGCGCCATGGGGCTCCGTGCTCCACCTTCTCTGCCCTGAGTTCGATTGCCGCCTATGGGGGGGTGTTAGTGTTAGGCCTCAATCTCACACTTTGTACTTTATATTTTCTATATCCTAGAGTAGTGTAGTTTGCACTTTGTGTTTGGTTGGGTATACGCCTACATCCCAACCAAACCCAAATGTTATCTCTAAGCAATCTCCAACCCACCAATTGGAGATTGCCTTGGGATTACCCCCAATCCCTAGGGATTGCCCCCGATTCCCTTCCCCATCCATTCCCTACCCTTCTTGGATGTACTTAAAGAGCTTCAAGCTCATTACTAATGTATCAGTTCTAAGCCTAAGTTGTGACACTCCCCTCCCGCGGTCTCTCATCGCCACGTCCCGCGCCGGCCCCCGCTACCGTCCGCGCCCTCCCCTCCCGCGCCTCTTTGTCGCCGCGTCCCGCGCCGGCTCCGCCGCTACGGTCCGTGCCCTCCCCTCTCGCGGCCCCTGGTTGCTGCGTCCCACACCGACACTGCCGTCGACCGTGCCACCGCCGCCGTCCGCGCCTCCGCGCCTCGAATCGCCGCGTCCCGCGCCACCGCCGCCGACTGCGCCCTCCCCTTCGCGGCCTCTGGTCGTCGCGTTGCCGCCATTGCGGACCGCGCTGCTGCCGCCGTCCGTGCCCCTCCCCTCCCGCGGCCCCTCTCGCCACATTCCGCGCCAAGGTCGCCATGGCCTGCCCTGCCGCCGCCGCTTGCACTCTCCCTCCCGCGACTTCGGTCGCGGTTTCCCGCGCCCTCGCCGCTGCCGCCACCTGCGCACCCCTCGTGACCGCCATGGGTCCACCCGTGGTCGTCACCCATGGCTACCGCCCCGCTTTTCCCTTCTCCTCTCCCTCCCCTTATTGACATCTCCTTCATCGACAAGCTCCAGTTGGCCGCGGACAAGTCTGCCATCATCTGGTACTCGTTCGTGGGGAGCATCCGTCGCATCCTCAAGGATGCCTGGGTTCCTTCCTACTGCGTCCTCGACGTCCTCCTTCGCCGCCCGAATGCTCTCCCCCCCACTGCACTCAACCACCGTGGCGAACCTCCCCTCCCCCACCCCCCCTCTCTCGGCACTCCTCCTCCTGAACCCGAGCTCCAAGTTGCCCCCACTCCTGACCCCCAAGCCATTGGCAGATGCAGCCTTTCTCCTCCCTCGCCGCGAGTATCTCATCCGCAAGGCCGAATACGACGCCGCAGCCGAAAATTATGTTCAGGCCGTTGCCGGACGTGACGCTCACCTCGCGGTCGTCGCCAAGTATAACGAGGATATGGCAGCATTCACTCCCAAACTCATTGCCTGGTCCGCCGCCGACAACCGGGCCTGCACCGTCCTCCTTGAAACTCCCCGACACCCTTATGCGTCGCATCCAGGCTCGGGAACTCCGCGCTTCCGTTATCTGGACGGAACTACATGCGATGTTCAAGCGCCATGACATTAGCTCCGGCATTCTCTTCCTGGAGTACTTCTCTATCACGCTCGCCACTTGTGATGGTGTCGTCGATTATGTGGGCCGTATGCGGGACGTAGCTGATTGTCTTGACGCCCGCCAGGCCGGCCTCTCCGAACCTCTAAAAATCCATAGTCTGCTCTTCAATCTCTCCCCGGACTATGAATCCCGCCTCCATGCCTTCACCGAAGCCAACCCCATGGCTAACCTCGGCTTCGTTGAACAATGGATCATTGATACTGAAGTCAAGCTTCGCACCCCTGTCGTTAACCTCGCCACCTCCCAGCCCTCCTCCTCCTCCCTCAACACCACGAAGCCGCGCAAGCAAAACAACCGCAACGGCAAACCAACCAGATTGTTACCCCTCCCCCACTGACATACAATCCAACCCTGCATATCTCCCCTCTCACCTCCGCCTCCTCGCTCCCCCCTAGCATACCTCAACCTCCAGCAGCAGCACCTTATGCAGCAGCAGCAGTTCCTGTAGCAGCAGCAGCCGGCAGTACCTGTGGGGACCCGGAGCGCTCCCTGGCAGCAGCAGCAGCTGAACTTTGGTATAGCGGCCATAGCCGCTCAGACCTCCCCTGCCCCCCTCTGGGGCGCCCCACCCACCCCTAGTTGTGCTGCTACATCCCTCACCCTGGAGAGCTTCCTTGGTCATATTGGTGTCACACCATCTCTCCCTTCCATGTACCCATCTAGCATTAATTTCAGTATGCTGTGTCTTCCTCCTCCTTCCCCACGCTGGATTTTGTCCTTGACAGTGGGGCCACTGAGGACTGCACTCAAAGATACAGGTACCCTCATTCTCCTTCCTCTTCCCACTCAGGTACACGGTGCAGACTCCAGTTTCACCATCCCCTGCACACACCTCTCCACTCTCCCCTGCCCATCTTTCCCACTGGTAAGGTAACCGGCCTCCATATCCCCACCCTCCGCAACAACCTCCTCTCCCATCTTTAGCTCCGAAGTGCAGGTATCACTGCCATTTACCCAGGTCATGCTACCTACTTCGGCCTCTATCACACTGCCACTGGTCGCTTCCTCCAACGCATTCCCCTCTGCCCCCGCACTCGCCTCTACACTCTTCGCACTCCAAGGTCATCCTTCTGCCATGTTACCACACGCACTGGTACCACCACTGGTCCACCCTCCCTCCCTCCCCAAATATTCCCACCCACTCCCTCACCCTCCCCATCCTCCACTGCCCCCCCCTCCTCCTCCGCTCCACCCTCACCCTCCCCCCCCCTCTCCAACCTCCTCCTCCTCCAACGATCTCTTCCATCCTGCCGTACTGTTACACCACAGACTCAGTCACCCTAACTTCGCCGCCCTCCGCACGGCCGTCACCTCTCGTCTCCTCAACAGTCTCCCTCCCACTCTTCCTCCCCTTCCCACCTCTCCAGCTCCTCCATGCCCCTCCTGCATTCACGGCAAACTCAATGAGTCTCCACATCATAGTCATCCCTCCTTTGCCCCTGCTCCACTCAACATCATTCATATGGACTTATGGGGACCTTCCCCGACCCGCTCTCGCCAGGGACATCGCGACATGTTCGTCCTCGTTGATGATCACAGCTGGTACTCCTCCATCTTTCTGCTTCACACAAAGGACCAGGCACCTACCGTGATCATCTGGGCCGAACAGTGCCGCACCCACTTCAAACGTCCCATCGGCCACCTTCACTCAGATGGTGGGGGTGAATTCCTCAATCACACTCTCTCCACCTACTGCATCACTTATGGCATCCAACAGACGCACGCCCTTCCCCACTCCCCGCAGCAAAATGGTGTCGCAAAGAGCCGCATTCGTGAAATTACAAAAATCGCTCGCTGCCTCCTTGCTCACGCCTCAACCCCCCCCCCTCCCTCTGGGGCTATGCCCTACTCCATGCTGCCCTCCTCCTTAACCTTCACTCCCATCCTCAGCACACCACCACCACCCCCACGAAACTCTGGTCAGGTACCTAACCCGACGCTGCAGGCCTCCGTGTTTGGGGCTGCAAGGTATACGTCCTTATTCCTCCTCCCGACCTCACCTCTGGCAAACTCGCCTCTCGAGCCCTAGAGTGTGTCTACCTTGGTCACAACCGTGACTCACCCGGCTACCTTTCCCTCCATCCTCCCTCTGGACGCCTCATTCGTAGCATCGACGTCGTCTTTGACAAATCCACTCACTACTACTCCACTCCTCCACCTGAACCCCTCCCCCCCCCTTCCCGTCCTCTCACCTGGACTGATACCGTCCTCCCTCCCCTCTTCCTCCAGCACCCCTTCTCCCACCTCTCCCTGCTCCGCTCCCTCCACCCTCCTCTGCTGACATCTATGATCCTGCTGCACCTACTTCGCCGGCCCACTCCACTGCCCCCTCTCCTTCCTCCCCATCCCCCCCTCCTTCTCCTCAGCAGCTGCAGCAGGAACTGCCAGAGCAGCAGCCGAAACAGCAGCAGCAGCAGCAGCAGCAGCATCAGCAACGGCAGCGGCAGCAGCAGCAGCAGCAGCGGCAGCATCAGCAGCAGTAGCAGCAACAGGAGTAGCAATCGGCTCAGCGGCAGCAGCACTCGCACTTGCAGCAGTCAGGGCAACAATCAGCACAGCAGCAGCAGCAGCAGGGGCTTCAGCAGCATCAGCAGCAGCAGCAGCGGAGAGCAACTGCCATCCCCTCACCCTGCCTCCTTCCCCGTATGCGTACCCGCTCCCTTGATCCCATCCTTGGCAACCCATCCACCACTAGACATGAGCAACTAACGAACCGAACACGTTTGTCTCGAACAGTTTGCGAACACTTGGTCAGTTCGAACCGAACCGAACACATTTGACTCGAACAGTTTTCTTAAATGTTAGTGTTCCCCGTTCGAGTATAGGGTCGAACAGTTTTGAGGCAAGGCCGAACACTAAGGTGTTTGACCCGAACTCGAACAGTTTGCCTTGGGGGGTTATTTCAGTATAGTCACATTCAGACAGGGCAAGTGTACTAGAAGCAATATCACATTCCCTAAAGCCCTACAAGAGATATAGTTAGGCTTGACGCAGATCAGGTGGATATCCCATTTCGCCCTGCTAAACTCCAACCTAAACCGTAATGCCCTTAGTTCCTTTTTTTAACCGTCTCCTACCCTAATCCAACCTTATACCTAACGTTTCCTGCCACAATGTGGAATTTTAACAGTGGGAATGTGTTAGTTTAAGTGGGTATGGGGCGAATGCCATCCTTAGGCTATATCGACGATAGAGCTAATTCTTGAGCTCAATCGTCGCCCTCCCCTTTTAGATCCAACCAGCCCGTCAAACTTTGACGCGCAGAAAAATGCACGAACACCTAGGTGTTTGCGACGAACACATTGTGTTCGCGAACACCTAGGTGTTCGTGCATTTTTATGCACACGAACACTCGAACAGTCGAACGTGTTTGTGACGAACACCAAGGTGATCGTCACGAAAAATTTTGGGCAAAAAACCCATTCGACCACGTTCGAGTCGAACACTTTTGAGTCGAACCGAACAGGGGTTCGAATTTTTGCTCATGTCTATCCACCACCTCCCTCAAGCTCCTTGAAGACTCTCACAAAACGCTCTTCCCTGACTTCCTCGGCACTCTTGTCCTCAGTGCCATCTCCGCCCCCAACATCTTCGTCCCCTCCACCTTCCAGGACTGACGCTGATAAATGGATTGCAGCCATCTTCCGGGAATGTGAGGCGTTCATTCGCAACGATTCCTTCGTCGACGTTCCCCTCCCCGCCGACGCCAACCTTGTTGAGGGCAAGTGAATCTTTCGCGTCAAACAGCTGCCGGGAGAGGACCCAGTGTATAGGGATCGCTACATTGCCAAGGGCTTCATAAGACTTGGGCTGAGGATTACTGGTTCACACTCGCCCTTACTGCCAAGCTGCCCACCCTTCACACCCTCCTCGACATTGGTGCACGCGACAATATGGAGATTTGCTCCATGGATGTCTCCAACGCGTTCCTGCAAGACGACTTGCACGAACGCATCTTCTTGAGGCGGCCCCCTGGATTCCATGCTGCTTTCCCCAGCAGCACTGTGTGGCAACTACGCCGTCCAGTCTACGGTCTAAAGCAGACACCGCGGGAATGGCATGCGAAACTGTCGGCCACTCTACGGTCCCTCGGTTTCTCTGCGTCCCACTCCGATGCCAGCCTCTTCATCCGCTCCTCGCCCCGTCGGTTCTTCATTCTGGTCTAGGTCGACGATATGATCCTGCTTGCCAATACCAAGGCTGACATGGAGCAGGTGAAGCGGTCACTACAGGGGCGCCTCAAATGCAAGGACCTTGGCGACCTGCAGAACTATCTTGGCATGACTGTCACTTGTGACCAAACCGCTCGCACCATCACCCTCTCCTAGTCTCACTACCTTGGCCAGGTGTTGGAGAGGTTCCAGATGGCGCAGGCCAAGCCGGTTTCCACCCCTCTCCGCTTCGGTCATCAGCTGGCACCACCAACCTCTCCGTCCTCCTCCTCTCGCCCCTATGCCAAGCTGGTCGGTTCGCTGATGTATGCTATGATGTGCACCCGTCCTGACCTCGCCTATCCCATCAGTGTCCTTGCTCAGTTTTTGGGGACCGGCCGCCACACTGAGGAAAATTGGACTGCCGCCAAACGAGTCCTTCGCTACCTCCGCGGAACCAAGGATCATGCCCTCACACTTGGTGGCTCCTCTCCTCCCCTTCTCTCTGGCTTCAGCGACTCCTCCTGGGCGGACTACCAACCCGCACGGCGCTCCTCGCAATGATATGGCTTCACGCCCGACAGCGGGCTTATCAGCTGGCGCTCCACACGCTCCTCTGCCATTGCTCTCTCTTCATGTGAAGCTGAGCTTTACGCTTTGACCATGGCTGCTCAGGAGTCTCACTGGCTCTGCTTTCTTCTTGCCGAGCTTGGTGCCCCCCAGCGCTGT